TCCTCTGGTTCCTTGAGGCTTCCTCACCCCCCACTATCATGACCCTGGTACTTTCTTTTACTGTAGGCTAGACTGGAGCATGTGCACAGGTACAGATAAGACATAAGAGCTCAGTACACATGGAATCCAGGAACAGGATATAGAAGTAGCAATATCAGGAGGGTGAGGCAGGGATGGGGAAGGTGTGGAGAGGAGGGGAGGGAGGGGGAACTGATTGCGATGATCTACACATAACCGCACCCCTTCCTGCCCCCAGGGGGACGAACAACAAAAACCATGTGGGATATGAAAATAATAATAATTTATAATTTATCAAAGGGCCATGGGGGTGGGTGGGAAGAGGAGCTGACATTAAGGGCTCAATAGAAAAAAAATGTCTAGAAAATAATGATGGCTACATATGTACAAATGTGTTTGATACAATTGATGTATGGATTGTCACAAGAGCTATAAGAGGCCTCAATAAAATGTTGAAAAAATAAAATAAAAAATTTCTTAGGAGATGTGTATATTGCCTTGAAAATTTAATCATTGACATTTAATTCTTCTTTTACATATAACTAAGTAGCATTTCTACTACTCTGTTTCTCTGAACGTAAGACATCCTCCGAAAATAAGACCTACTTATAGTTTTGCCTCTCACTGAAATATAAGATATCCCCCAAAATAAAACCTCCCCCAAAATAAGGCCCCCGAAGCTACCGTAACTCTGGACTCTGGACCGCAGTGGCAGATGCTGCCGCACAGCTCACTGTAGACCACAGCGCAGCCGGAGAAGACAGAAAGCGCGAGGTCTCTCAATAAAACAATAAACAATAAATGTGTACCGTATTCTTCTTCATGGAATAATAAAATATCCCTGAAAATAGGACCTAGCGCATCTTTGGGAGCAAAAATTGATATAAGACACTCTTATTTTCAGGGAAACAGGGTAAAAGCAACATTCTGAACATGCATTGGTAAGGATTCTATTCATAGAAAGCCAATGATATAATTTCTTATTGGAAATAATTACCATATTGGAAGTAGTATCAGTACAAGGAAATATTCAAGAACCTGAAAAGAGTTATTCATAATTTTATCAAATATTTAAAACAAAAACAATTTAAACATTGATGGGATTAACACCCTTTGATAAATAATACAATTTTCCCTGTTCTTTTGTTAAGTCTCAGTAATAATTTATTGATGAAATAACTTCAAAAGAAGTTCCATGATTGCTTGCATTTCTCATAACTTCTATTGCTTCAAGCTAGGGAAATCCCTACTATGTGGTGAATTCTGCAAAATCTGGAAGTTTTCCTCTCAGTGCCTGGAGGGAATCTCTTGCTGGGGATAGTGGAGGATAGAGGCATGTGATTTTATATCCTTCCCGACGGAGGCAGCTCTGACTCAGTGCGACTCGGGATGGCGGGGGAAAGCTGGGAGGACAAACGTGAAGAAGGGGCAAGAAAGTACCCATGACAAGGTCTACACGTGAC